TTGTTTTCCAGACTTTTGCCTGGGCATGACGACCAACGCCACCATTAAATCGTCGGAAAGGAATAATCTCTTTCTTCTCAATGACATTTTTCAAGTAAGTTTGAGCTCGCTGGAGAGTCATACCCTTAAAAGTTAATGAGTAAATGTGTATTTAGATACCTTCACTGCACAAGCACACTCATGCATGTTTTTGAAGTGAGTCCTTAGATATGGGATTCTTGCTTTGCATGTCTTACTTTCATCCTCATCCTTGGGTTCCCACGAGTACTTTACCATTATCCCTTAGATTAAACGGCGCCGAAAAACGTGGACGGTCAAACTGCCCGCTTCCAAGAACTGTGAGACAAAAAACAACATCGAGCTTAAATGGGTTCAAATTTCAGTTGGAGTATTTAATACCTTCGGTATTCAGTGACAGTTTATGGCCGGCCACTGTATATATAAAAACAAGGGTATCTTTTCATCAACTAACAAACCAGAGGATATAGTGATGTTTCACTCCCAAGCCTTAGGCGAAAAATGACTTGGATTGCTCAAATTTATTCTTAGTATGAACTTGATATCTGAACGATACATAAATCCTTTATTGTTCTCCATAAAAGAAAAAAATACTGTTTTGTAAAGAGTTGAAACCGAAATGTTACTTAGATTAGTGAAAAAACCTGTTACGGTGAATAAATCACCAAAGTAAGTAGTCCAGAAAGTTTTCGACATTTCTGCCAACCTCTTGGGTTTTGTTGGATGCATCATATCGGAATGCACTCGGTCACGTATCTGCACCAGATCACGAGTAGGAATGTTGTGCTTAGTATTTCTCGCAACTACCAACCAGTTTACTTCAAACTCTACTAAAAGTTTCGACAATCTTCTAGACATACATCATTAAACTCAATCATCCGTCACCTCTGATTTGACCGGGTTGGTTGGTTTTACAGACAAAACTGTTGTCAAACTCTGAATATATGTGGCATCGTTCTACTCGACGACTCTAACACCAATCATCTTCAACATGTTTAACACTAAGTTGTAAGTTGTCAAACGCCATAATGTATGCGAAATTCTATTAGTAAGAGCTCAAAATTTAAAAGATCAAGAAAGTGGGCCAACAAATAAACTCATATTTATAATGTTAGTGTTAAACACAAAAACCGGTATTAAATAGTTGACTAAATTTGGTGGGCTTGTAGCAAGAAATAGATTTCCAAAACCAATAGTTCTGCAAGTCTTCGACATTTGATACTGACCACATTATTTTTTATGAGCTCACCTGGGTGGAGGCACTCGGTCACGCATTTTTACCAGATGACGAGTGTAAACTCTCTGCTCAACTTCTCCTACAACCGCTAGCCAGCTCAAGTCAGTTACTTCTCGATATACTAATAGCCTACCAATCAAACCTTCGAACCTCTTTGCTTGTGACTTCTGATTTCACTGGGTAAGATGTTTTCAAAGTACAAGAACTTGTGACATTTTTAAGCTCCTTTAAAACCTGAATCACAGGTGATTGTTTCGACAATGGACTTTATTCTGACTATTATCAGATATTTCATACAGACAGTTTGTGTTTTTTATACGAATCGTTCCCTTACATGTTATCAAACCTTGTCCTTTAGGGAAAATTTTTGAAATTTATTTTCGAGTAGCATTCAACGTCTAAGCTTACAACAAAGCTCACAACTCGGGAGCTATAACTTTTAAGCCTACTTCTTATATTTCATTATGTTGTTCATTAGTATTACTATAAGGATTAAATTCCTAATGTTCACTTCAGCATTATCAGGGGAAACTAATGAATTAATTTGGTTGTTTGTTTGGTTGTGATTTACATAAGCGAACTCTCATCTCATCTGAACTTGAAAACAACTCACGATACGTTGGTAATTGATTGTCATCTCAGTTGAATAATGTATAACTGGTTACTGAGCGTTCAAATATTGCACATGGGTCTTAGAGGATTTAAGTATTAACGAAGTGGATGGTTCTGTCATAATAATAAATATTCCTAAGAGTCTGAACTACGTATTGATGATTAACATCCTCATCTTTCGCTTTCGTTTTTTCGAAGCACGGAAGATTGAGTTTCCTCATTCATTTGACTGTTGTCGATGTTTTCGGAAAGGTTTTCAGAAAAAAGCTAGATGCACTTGACTAAGTACTTCTAGTATCCCAATCTTGGATTTAATTCTCGCAACTCTCCCTTCTTAACTGTTTGGGACCAGTTAAAAGGTATAGATTCTCAATCTTTTCCCTTCATCACGGTTTCTTCTAGTATCCGCTAAACTACGATAGGCAGTTAATGGGCTGTTGAGTCAGTGATGTTACAAGAAGAAACCCGATATTTTAAAAATAGCCATTAAACCTTAAGCGTCACATCTTTAATGTTAACTGATATTGTAGTGACTCATATTTATCACGAGAACACGACTGGTTTAATAAAAACAATTATTATTATAACCAACTGTACCAGTGTTTGTTTTAATGTGCTTTTGTTTAACTGTGCTAATTATAGCCATTTTGTGCTTCCATTACCTTTCATCATTGTTCCGCGGTTTTTGGTACTGTTCGGACGTACTCCTTTCTCCTGCTTTCGCTTGTACCATTTCTTGACACGGTCTCGGTATTCATTCAATACCACGAGATCGCCAACCGAATAAATCTGGTTACGTTCAATCTTTGTCTTTTGATTTCTTTGGCACGTGTTTTTTTGGTAGCGGTGTTCATAGTCAATCTCGACTCGACGCCATGCTACAATATCATCTGATCAGTTTGAGGAGGTTTCATAGTCTGTTACTGCTGAAGTTTAGCATAAAACAATTTAAAGATAGGCTCAGCTCGATCGTAGGACATATAATGGGTTTCTATACCGTATAACAGAATCGTGTAGCTACTTGGCTGATATAGACCTTCCTGAGAGCTATGAAATACAGTAACTCCTGATCCTGATCTGCACTAACTTTGTAACCAGCATTCATGACACCAAATTTAAACATAACCGTTAAAATTAATTTCACTGATGCGCTACCTATGCTCATAACTAGGCAGGAGTTTAACCATGTTTAGTGCCTTCCCTGATAATGAAGTTCTCAGGATTCACAATAAAAACAGTTTACTATGTTTGTGCCATTTTATTCTCACCATTTTCTTTTGATAAAAATAACATTTATAGTTTCATGGTTTTAGTGCAATTTCCTATTTAAATAGCAATTCCCCAGATTGTTTACATAATAAGTTTTGTGAGATTAATGATTCAGTGACATTTGTCTGTTTGAAGAACCACATATTTTAAAAAACGTACATGACACTAAGGCAAAGGAACCCAGTCCAATTAGCTTCAACATATAATTTAGAGAAAATATTAGTATAACAAGCTATATCAGGTACCTAGGAAATAGTGAAGGGCAAAAAATTACCACTAAGATGACTGAATGCTTCGAAAGTGCGAACAAATCTTCATCTTTAGATATAATACTAAAAATGAAGGTATTATGTCATAAAACAGTTCATTTTTAAACTAGAGCAGGAATTTGTGTAACAGAGATGAATTCATTCTGTTAACTGAGCTTATGTTACTTAAATGAGTAAAAATATGTTTGTTCCAACAGCATCAATTGCTTTTTTTAAAAACGAGGTTTCAAAGATCATTCTAGTTGAATAATTAACTACAGCGATAAAGTCTGTTATTTGAATTTTGTTCCATTTATTTCAAACGAGGGAAACTGTCATTTTATTATACCAAAAATATCTTACTCTGAATTATTTCCAGCCACTTAACATCTCAGCATAAGGCAAGCAATGTCGAGTTACTCAACTTAGTGGTCAGATTGATCAACAGAGTTAGTTCGGCATTAAGACGAGACAAACATAACAATAACCACTACTTAGCGATCCATTAATTGTATGGTTACTTGCTTAATTGCTTTCCCTACTTCTTTTTACTTGCCTGATTAATTAATGGATGGCTTAGTTTACTATGCGAGCCTGCTATTCCACCAACCAGAGTTGAAATGTAGAAAACTTTACAAATTAGATCGAAAAGAGAGATTATTACTCAAGATCTCTCATTTAAAGTAATTGGAATTAGGGCTGATCAATCAAATATATGCAAGATTGACAGCGAATATTTTTATGTTGATATGATGGAAAAAAAGTCAAAATTCAATTGATTTACTCATTATGATTTTTGTTCAACATCAATTCCGTTTTAATTCAATGTAATATAGTATTTTCAGAAGGGGTTTGTGGAGATTTTAGGAATTTTCACAGATTGAAATCGTGAGTCAATTGAAGCTAGACCACCATTGAAAACCTGCAAGCACTGGATGGCCGTTTCGTCTTAGTATGGGACTCCTTAGCAGTGCGCATCCACGATCCCGCACCACGCGGGGCTCGAACGCAGGACCTACTGGCTTCGCGCGCGAGCACTTAACCACTAGACCACTGAGCCGGCATCCAACGGTGTTAATGTCTAACTTCAACCAATCCACGAAGTTGCACCATTGTCTTCAGTGAGCTGATATCTCACAACAGACCTGGTTGAACTCCAGGAGTATCTCTTGAAGTCAGTCACTAGTCAGCAGATGATTATTATCAGAAGGGTTTTGTGGAAATTTTAGAAATTTTCACAGATTGAAATCATGAGTCAGTGCTTCCAGGTTTTCAATGGTTGTACTAGCTTCAACTGACTCATGATTTCAATCTGTGGATAATATAGTATTTGTTTTGTTCCATCGTATAACATTTTATTCTGTATAACTTATGATATTCTTGTATTAAGTTAACATGAACTATACTCAACATATGATTTGTTATAATTGTAAGTATTTTTTCTTTATATGTTGATGTTATGTTAATTATTAATCAAAAAGTGGGTGTATGAATCACTACATAAATGAGTGTATTTTCGACTGGGGTTGTTGTTGTCGTCGTGTTTCGACATTACTAGCAGAGCTTAGGAGACATATTTAGCGTTCAATCTAGAAAACACATTATATATCTTTTTTATACATTTTATATGTTACATTTAATGAAATCAATTAAATTAAATACACGAAATGAAACACTAAAAAAGTAAATATGTTCTATATTATCGATATCATTAATAACAATATGAGTAGAATAATTTACAATGTTTCTTCTTATCTTGAATACACTTAGATAAATCAATTATACCTAACAAAAATTCAATGTTTCAATGTTTCATTTAGAAATAAACTGAACAGAATGAGTACACTTATGATGATGATTATTATTATTATCGAGAATTATGGCAATTTTTAAATTTCTATTTCTCAAATATACTTGATAATATGAGGGGGGAAAAAAAGGTAAAATTATGGTAAGTTGATTTTAAAAGGGTTTTCCTCTATAAGATTAACTATCAATAAAATTATACAATTTGAATAAATGAAATCATCATAAAAAGAAAATGGATTCATATTTATGAAATAGGTTTATTTACTTATTCAATACTTCCATTTAAAGAAACCAAAATGATAAATCTGTATTGTTTATACGATACATATGCGCACACACACACACACACACACACAAATAAATACCAGTTTCAAATGAAGGACATAATTTTTGATGGTGGAATTTGTAATTCATAATTGACCTGTTTAATAAAGAATAGAATGGTAAACATGAATTTAAGTACAATATGCGTTTGTTGTAAATCATAAATAAAAATCTCAATAGTTGAAATCATGAGTCAATTGAAGCTGGAAGCCCTGGACGGCCGTTTCGTCCCATTGTGGGACACCTCAGCAGTGCGCATCCACGACCCTGTCTCGCGAGTCAGTTGTGAGGTAGTAACTCACTGATGACAGTAGTGAATGTATCGCTCAATTTCGTGGATTAGTTGAAGTTAGACATTGACACCGTTGAATGCCGGCCAGCCCAGTAGTCTAGTTGGTTAGGCGCCTGACGCAAGACTGATAGGTCCTGGGTTCGAATCCCGCGAAGCGGGGTCGTGGATGCGCGCTGGTGAGGAGTCCCACAATAGGACGAAACGGCCATCTAGTGCTTTTAGGTTTTCCATGGTGGTCTAGCTTCAATTGACTCATGATCTCAACTATTGAAATTACTACAATCTTCACAAAACCCATTCTGATACAAATAAAAATCTAAATAGTGAATGAGTCCAATGGATAGAAATCATTGATTCCTTAATCAGTTATTCTACATTGATTTAATTGAATAAATTTTATCTTAGCACAATGAGATAAAATCAACCAGATGACAATAATAATGGTTACAGGAATTGTAAAGAAACAAATAGACTGGATTGACTCCATATATTGATTAAATTGCTTCTAATCTTCTTCTTCTTCTTGTAAATATCTCATCCATTACCGACTAATACAAATTCGGTTGGACAGTAATTAAATATACGTAATTGTAGTAAGAGACAATCTAACTATGAGGTAAAAACTTTCAGAGCTATTGTTTTTACGACTACATATATTGATCGCATTTTTATTAAGTATTTTTGTTTTCTCATTTTCTTACTTATAAACTAGAGCTGATTATTTGTGTACCCAGTATTACGTTTTTCACATCTTTAACTCATTATCCCATGTAAAAACCTTTACATATTTGGGTAGCATCATTGATGAACAAGGTGGATCTGATGCAGATGTGAAGGAGCGGATCGGAAAAACAAGAGCAGCATATTTAAAACCGAGGAACATCTGGAACTCAAAGCAACTGTCAACCAACACCAAGGTCAGGATTTTCAATACAAATGTCAAGACAGTTCTACTGTATGGAGCGGAATCCTGAAGAACTACGAAAGCAATCATCCAGAAAATACAGGTGTTTATTAACAGTTGTCTACGCAAAATACTTCAGATCCGTTGGCCGGACACTATTAGCAACAACCTACTGTGGAAGCGAGAAAACAGGATCACAACGGAGGAAGAAATCAGGAAGAAATGCTGGAAGTGGATAGGACACACATTGAGGAAAACACCCAACTGTGTCACAAGACAAGCCCTCTCATGGAATCTTCAAGGTCAAACAAAAAAGAGGAAGACCAAAGAACACATCACGCCGGGGGAATGGAGATAGACATGAGAAAAATGAACAAGAATTGGATGGAACTAGAAAAGAAGGCGGAGGACAGAGTGGGTTGTAGAATGCTGGTCGGTGGCCTATGCTCCATTAGGAGTAAGAAGCGTAAGTAAGTAAGTAATACTATTATGCAATTGGTTTTCTGCGTGGTCTGGTCTTGTATGTATATAAATGAATGTCTAAAATATAATAACGATCTTGGACTGACGATCATTGATCTTATGTTTTTCCACTTCGTTTCATGCTATTTATTATTGGTCCAACTGTCAACATCCTTGTTGTGTATTGGTTGATTAATGTCCTGGGTTGTTGGACATAACAATAATATATTCAGTGCTTTCTTGTAGTTTTCTAGACTATATTATTATTTACAAGTAATTATATCAACATTTAGAATACCCTCAAAAGTTGGCTTTTTCATTCATCAATTTATTTTGAAACAGTGAGAAGGAATGCAAATTTTTCATCAGCTAAATCAAGCGACCAGAGAAGCAAGTCATCAACTATTCTATTAGTTTTCAAAGAATAATCAGCCTACCTAGTGTATAGACTATCATATTAGTTTAATTGTATAATAATTACAACTATGGATCATAAGAAATCATATTCACAGTCTCAGAATAAATCTCCACAGTTTATTGTTAACTTGATTGATACATTCATCTATTCAACTGATAAATATTTTGTACCAGGTCTACAAATATTTGACCTTGAGTGATTGCCTTTGATTGATATTTAGTCTTCAACTTATGGTTTTATCTATTTACTACTATTGGACAAAATGTTTGTACAATATGAAGAAATGTAATCTTTGAGATGATCTCAACCAGTAATGCTCTAAGCCCCAGTCAACATAACTCCTCACTTAAATACTTAATGGCTAAGTAATTAAAAAATAATGTAAGATACATTTCAGGTTAAGTCAGGATGTCCAAGTTAAGGCTATGATTTAGCGTTAAAAAAAACCCTTATTCGTATAAAATCAACGTATCCTTAGAGGATTCTTCCATTTTCCATCCTAAGTTATGTATTAATTTCTATTGCTTTCAAATGGACTCGGCTGTTTCTTAATCTCAGGTTCGTTCACTAATACTCTTTACGTAAACCCACATGCCATGTAATATAAATGTTTTTCTTAGATTATATGACATATCTGTCTTTAGATTTCACTTCTAGTCATATTTCATAATATAATCAACATAAAAAAGAGATACATGTCATAAGATCCTGTTTCCCAATAGTAACTGATCATTTCAATTCAGAATATCGACAATTGGAAAATGCAAACACTCACAAGCAATAGTCAGAATAAAACAGCAGATAGACTGAGTTACAGTAACCTCTTTTCATGAATTTACCGAAGATTACGACAAGGTCTAATACTGGATTATCTACTGTAATTCAGATAATGATTTTCGTATTATTATTTACTGTTATTTTCTCTCACTAAGATCTGATCATATCGGAGCACACTTTTCGAAAGTTGAAAAAACCGAGATTAAACTATCAGAGTCTAGAGTTTTGTTCATCACATTGAGTCACGAATTACTGAAGTCCTCCACAAGAACATGTTGTATCCTCACCTTCTCCTGATGCACGCAAAGCGATATTAGATCTTCATGCAACTATAAATCGTGAGGATAAACATATGCTGCCTGACTTCCTGTCCTTATCTGTTGACAAGCCTTCTAGTGAAACGCTTATTAATGACTATGTAACCGCCTTCTAAAACCCCAATATTACTTCTACTTGTCAACCTGAACAACAGAGAAAAGGCGTAAAATATAAGTCGGAGCTTCACTTCATGGTTAGGTTATGTAGAGGAAATCATGTGTGTTGATAGAGATTCATATGACCGTTGTTTCCTATGACTATCTGGAAACATACTAAATAAATTTCAGTCCTAAAACATCAATGGGAAGATTCAAGTAAAACAATATCAAGTGAATTAAACTTCACCTCATTGCACAAGCAAGTGGCTATCAGGACTCAGTAGCTAAGTGGATAACGCGATGACGTTTGAAGCGAACGGTACTGAGTTCGAGTCCCAGAGTGAACATCAACTCTGAGATGCAGGTACATCCAGCTGACGAGTCCCAAACAGGACAAAACGCGCGTCCTGGATTCCACTGCTAGCCACTATCCATATTTGCTTATAATGCTTGTAAATTAAGGCAATATCGAGGCATACGCACAGTATTCACATATGCTAATAAGAGACTGATCAATTTCAGTCCTAAAACACCAATGGGAAGATTCAAGTAAAACAATATCAAGTGAATACTAAATATTGTAACAGTACAGATAATTAATTACCTAACCAAAATTGTGATACTTGATCTTTCATTTTTCTAGATGTTTCGGAGGGAAATTTATTCAATACTGATTAGATAAACCATTTCCTTGAGTTTTCCGGGCTTCTAAAAACTTTAACGATGGGTATTTTTGTACTCTTCAATACTTTGAACACTGAAGGCTGTTCTTTGAAGATTCCAATCGATTTATATTATTATTGCTCAGTATTTTAGATACTTGTTCAGTGAACTTAACTAATAACCACGGTTTTGAGTAGGAATGTAACGTTTGGAGGAACATATATATTTTGAATAGAACATGTTGTTTAATGTACAAATCCTCACTTGATTGTTGAATTAAACTATCATTTAACATATCATTCTTTGTATCTACTCAAATGACAGTTATCTTCATTAGAAAATGCACAAACTTCCAACCGATACCACTCAAGGTAGTTTTACTGTTGATTAATTTCACTGTAATATCATTCTCATGAATTCCTTATATTCTACTCTCATAAATTCAATTACAAGCATGGAGTTTCTAAGATCCATGATTAATTTAAGCTAAAATGTTCTTGATACAAAGTTTAAATAATGAAATCATTAGTTCTACTGATTTTCTTTAAAAAAATAATCTTACCTTGGAATTCATATATTGTTGTAATAAATGTCGTAGTTCAGCATTTTGTTTTCTTAAACTATCTGTATCATGTATTAATTTGGCTCGATGTTTCAATACATTGTAATATTTTTCTGATGCTAGATATAAATTATTCCATATATCTTCCCATTCTTCAGTGACTATGTTCTGTCTATATAAGCATATATAAATATAGTAAGAATGAAAAGAATATTGTTAACATATATTAAAAAGAATATTTTTCATTTATAATTTTAGAATAGTTGAATTCACAAGTCGATGTAAGCTAGACCACCATCGAAAACCTGGAAGCACTGAATGCAAGACCATGGATCAATTGAAGTTGAACATTAATGCCTTTGGATATCGGTTCAGTGGTCTAGAGGTTAAGCATTCGCACACCCGGGTTCGAGTCCAGCATGAGGGATTGTGGATGTGTACTTGTGAGGAGTCCCATACTAGGACGAAACGACCGTCCAGTGATTCAAGTTTTTCAATCGTGGTCTAGCTTACATCGACTGGTGAATTTAACTATTAAAATTACTACAATCTCCACAAATCCTGATTCCGATCATAATTTTAGAATAAATTCAATGATGTGTTACATAACTTTCGTTTATTATATTCCATCTAGTGCCATTACTTAATGTCTGATAGTTGAAAATCTTTTAAAAAAGGCTTTCGTTGAGAATGGATAACAGCTGTAGACGAAAAGAAAACATTGAACAACTGTTTTTTCCTGGTTCAAGAATCAAAAGTATTTCTTATCAATAGGATCAAATCCATTATTTAAAGCAATTAGTCCCTTTAATAAATTTCGATAATGTAATCAGAAGACGAAGTGTTTCACAACTATATGATGATATATATTAGCGCAATACATTTCGAACAATCTGATCACACATATACTTGTTCAGAACATTGATATATAAAAATAAAGTCAGTCAGTCAGCAACAACGTAGAACTTCGTACGTACGTACATCAGTTCGAGTTGCCACACCACATTAGCACAGAGATGCCGTGGTCGATTCAAATCCCGTAGTGGTAGAGGTAATAAGAGTATAAGCAGTAATCGGAGAGATTAGTGTTTGGAGATGCTACTTAAAGAGTATAATACAGTGAAATAAACTTGCGAAGAGAAAAAAGAGACAAGGGGGAATCAGGAAGTCAACTAGACTGGAAACGGGGTAAGAGGAAACAAGAATAATAATACGAGTAATAATAATGTGAACACAATTTGAAACACGGTCACTTTGGATAATAAGTCAATATTACCAGGGTAGGTTTAAGATGAGAACAAACTGTTTTTGAATACTCCATTTCCAGTCTAGTTGACTTTGTATTTTTATTTATCAATGTCCTGAGCAAGTATATGTGTGATCAGATTGTTTGAAATGTATTGCGCTAATATATATCATTACATAGTTCTGATAATCTTCGTCTTCTTATTACATTATCGAAACGCATTATTATTTTCGCGTTTATGACTAACTAACAGATTCGCACTGCTCTAATTGATTTTAAACTTTACCATCTAAACTCATCAATCATTGTTTCTGATTACCTCATCGACGTCAAACAAGAAAGTTTTAAGAGAAGACAACTGTTAGAAACGGGCAAATGAACCAAAAAAGGAAATAATTTGAAATATATTCCCCACGGATTCATTATTGATAATCTTTTTTAAGTAAAGACTAAGCTATTATTATTGTTCAATACTTAAGCGCTAATTTAATTTACTGACTGTCGATATATCATTTAAAATTCATCGATTATATTTAATTATTTGTTACTCAGTTTTTGTACCACAAATGACCTGATGTTTTGTACAGATTAAAGTTTATTATTTATGGCACGTTATGATTTTATATTTGACGTAAATGATCATTGTTTTGGGGAAAAAACAGATTGCTAGGTTGGGTTGTATCGAGTGCCGTCTGATTGAGACAGTGGTTCTATGATCACTCCTACACACACACACTAGTTCGATTATCGATCGATTCACCAGTATTGCTAATAGGATAAGTGACCTTCCATTCACCGATCGACATAACGACCAATAAACAACAACCGCGATTTTAACGTTTGTTGGTCCTCGAGATTATTGTAACCCATTGGTCAATAAGAAAACGAAGATATCGAACAAACGTTTTCTACTGCTCTCAATTATTAGAACAATTCAATTATTATGGAGTGAACATAACTCGGTTACAAGTGATACAAGACCAGAGAAATAGGGGAATAAATAATTAATGATAAATCTGAAACCATAATACATATAGTAAAAATTTATGGATCAAACGAAAGCTTAGAAATGGTTCATAAAAAAATACGACAATTTAAGCAACACTTCTAATTTGTACTTTTACACTATTAGTCCCATTAAATGAATAATCATCTGAGATTTTTAAGTTTGAATCGGTTAAATATTTTCGTTTTCTGATTAGAAAGTTAGTGACTAAAGAAATTTCAATTATTTTCAGTATAATATTGTAGAGATTGTTGAATTTCATTAAAATTATGAACTGATCTAAGTTAGACCACCAATGAAAACCTAGAGGCCCTAGATGGTCATTTTGTTCTAGTGTGAGACTCCTCAACTATGAACATTCACGATTCCACATAAGGAAACCAAACATTATTGAATCCCGGTTCAGTGGTCTAGAGGTTAATCATTCGCGCGGGCGCGCGAAACCGAATATTCTGATTTAGAGTCCCATGTACAAAATCATGGATAAACGCTGCTGAAAAATTCGACACTAAGGTGAATCAGTCGTCCAGTGCTTCTAAATCTTTAATGATAATCTTACTTAGATCAATTTATAATTTTAATTCAAAGCAACAATTTATATCAATTGATTAAATGAAATTTATTATTAAATAAAACAATTTTTGTTTAAAATTTCTTTTGGCATAAATCATATCAACTAATATTTTTGTTGTTCCATTTGTATTATTTAAACTTGAATTAATATTGATTTAATTATTTATTTATTCTCTGAAGAAGTGGCTTACACTAAGTCACGAAACATCAAAAAAAAATTTTCCTACTCATTTGGATATTTACAAAGATAGTTATTTATTCATATCAACTAAAAGTCAGTCAGTAACAACGTAGAACTTCGTATGTACGCACATCAGTTCGAGTTGCCATACCACATTAGCACACAGATACAATTGTCTATTCAAATCCAGTAGTAGTAAAAGTAGTGAAAGTATAATCATTAATCGGAACTATTAGGGTTCGAAGATGTTATTCTAGGAGTAAAATCCCGTGAAATAAATTTAAAAAGAGAAAAAAGGAATGGACATGAGGAATTCAGAAGATTAGAATTTTGGGGAACACAAGGAGTGGATGCACCTGCGCTATTGCGAACCATTTTGATCCATGTCATTCAAGGTCTCTAACCATCGGTTGCTATCATCTCGCGGATCCAAACCAGATAGTCTACACCTACCACTTATCAGTGACTTTATAGATTTTATGCCACATTTTGTTTTGGTCACCCCCAAGCTTTCTTTCAACCTACACCATTAAACATCACATGTCGAGGCAGTCGGTGGTTGGTTATACGTAACATATGTCCCAGTTATCTCACTTACTTATATTTATTCCAATAGATTAAATCATTTGAATCATCACGAATTCTATAATCATCAAATGTATTAATTTTATTAAAATTAAATGATGTTTTACTGATTTCAATATTATTTAATGATGATAAATTTTTCATTGTAATTAATGGTAAATTATTTTTGAATTTATGATTTAATTGAATAAAAGTTTCTGTAGATTTTGTACTTTTATTGTTCTTATTATCATCATCATCACCATCATTATGATTATCGATGTTATTTTTATCCTTTGAATGTTTACATCTATGAATATCTTCAGTAAATTGATATATTGCATCAATCACATGTACCGGTGAAATTAAATTCCATTTGTATGAAGATTTTTTAGTTTCATGAGATATGGATGACTTTGGAAATGGAAACAGAAAAAAAAACACCCAATAAAATCTGTTAGTTCTTTTATATAAAAAAACTTATCATTTCAATAGTTGAGATCATGAGTTAATTGAAGTTAGACCATCATGGAAAAGCTGGAAGTACTGGATGGTTGTTACGTTTATGATTGTTGATTTTGTGTAAAGAGTGTTTTTTTCTTTCTATTTTATATTACAAATTAGTGTTGTTTTGAAGAATTCTCAAGCATTTATTATTATATATATCACTATTAAGCTATCGAGTTGAAATCCATTGATTAACATTATTTACTTCAGTCCATTTCGCGATATTGTGCAACTATTGCAAAAGTGTATTTATTGAATAACTGACTACCTCACTTCCAATGTAGTCGAACCATATCGGTTACATTAAACTTATCTATAAAAAATCCAAATAACTAAGTACTATTATGTAATCTTGTCTTCAGATACCCTGGTATGGCCGAAGGTGAGAAGAGTTCGCTCTCCCTCTCAAAATGCTTTTACATGGACACGCGTAAACAGTTACTACCAGGGAAGTCCTATTCACTGCCTTCTCGCAGCAGGGGTATTGTTTACGACATTGAGAGGACGAAAAGTGTATGTCCGACTCTTTGAACGGGTTAATGGATATAGAGGTTCCACCCAGGGGAGTCGGAAAACCAATCGTGCACATCGGCCCCGGGATCCTAAAGAAAGAAAAAGCGTATGATTCTATTGTTGGTCATGGGCTACCATGAGACTGCATCTCCCGACATTGCTCCACTGTCTTGTGGATTAGACCTCTAGGTCGAAGGCCCGGGGTGTGGCCCCCTAAGAAAACCACCTGGTTTGGTTTGGGCACTCGGGTAGTATTTTAGCCCTCACACAAATCGAGTGATTTATGTTGCACATATCTATTTGGTGCCTCCTTGTACCAATGTTTATCAGTTTAAGTAAATAAATATACCATAGTTTTCGTATTGTTATTTTATTTGTTGAGCAAATGAAATTCAGATTGTTTTCTTAAAGACAAATTCAAAATCATGATGATCTAAAATGTTGGGAAAATAACACTGAAAACACTCATTTATATAAACAACTGTAAATGAAAATGACCTTAATTGACTACATTCAAGTGTAACTTCAACGATGATAAATGTTATGTTAAATATCATTTCTTGAATCTCTTACAAATTGGTCGTTACTGATTAAATCACTTCTCCCTACTAAGTAATGTATAAACAAGGTCTAAGCAACAAATATGTATTAAATTGAAAACAACCAACAGCTTTAAATCAAAATATAGTGTACTTGACATTGAGCCACATAGACTAGTGGCGACATCGGAACTTGACTAATTGGATTCGATTAGTATTAAGGATTAGACATAAATGACACTGACCACTATTAAGTGAACAACTTATATGAATATCCTGATCAAATAGAAGGTCAATTGTGGGACTAAATGGTCAGTGATGACATTTCAGATTGTGAAGTTGGATGATTCGGCTTCGAATGAGACATGTAGTATCCAATTCTTGCAGATTCCTGTTGTAAATTGCTCACAAGTATCAATTGACACAAAATCTAAGTCAAATAGGATTCCTTACCGACTACCTCCAACCTTCAAGCAATTAAAATACATCAACTGAGCAATAAACATGAAAGTAATAAATACCTCTTAACAAGTGGTATCGTAGTAACAACATTAGATCAAACAATGGTTTGGAGAGAGATTTTGAAACTGTGTATATTATATTACAGATTAATCTTAGTTAAATAACCATTAAAAAACAGGGACCACTGGATTTTATTATTGTCCTTGGGCAATGGACAACCATGAATCCATTGAGGATCGAAATCAAGACCTTTAGATCTTTTACTGACAGTTTAACTTTTAGATCACTAAGCTAACATTCAATATCCTACATATCTAACGTCAGTCAATTCAAAATATTGTTTAACCATGTTTTAATGTTATCGATTAGTAACTACTTCACGGATGACATGGTCATGATCCAACAATTATCTCTTTCATCAAGTTATTACTAATTAATTATATCCCCAATTTAAAGACAAAACATTTTAATGATGGCGAGACTCTAACTTATGGACGACCTTTGAACGAATCTTAAGTAACCTTGAGAAATATTAGCCAGTCAGCAAACAGTCAGTTTAGAGTGAACATATATTATACAAAACCAAGGAAATAAAGTGGATACACTTCTTATATGTGGTTCAAAAACTTCTTTCAAGGTTAGAAAGAAGTTCAGAGGTTCTAAAATCGTAATGCATGCAGCAGAGGAAATCGTCCATGCGGCTACAGAATAGTTGCCCTCTGGAGCCATGATAAAGTCTCAAAAACTCTTTCAGCCTCGACTACATAGCTTCAATATTGTTTATGTGCACTTCGTTTGTTGAGTGCACAAAATGCTAATTATGGGTAATGACATGAAGCACATAACCAAGCCTATGTAGGAGTATGTACGCTCTCCAACCATTCATATAAATTGTAGTACCTGTCTGCAGCCAGTGTTACTGGGGCTTTTATTATCCAGCTCGCAATAACTGTCGTAATTTGCCTTAGTTAGGAATTATATATGGGGTTTTCATCACGAATGGACATCAGCTATAATGCCAGAAATTTATTTAGCCAAATGGATGAAAGGCTTTCGCGTTAAAATCCGAGATCTATTATCTTATACCTGATTGATTCGTTCACAAATTATAGTCCCGCCGTTTTATTTGTTATAGCCACTCAATTATCACGTTTTGTACAAAATTCCCTGTGAACCAATCGTACGTTAGCATTAAACACTGAAGTTGGCGCTGTAACCTTGAAATCTCTAAACTGCCTCTGATTGGCTCGTCCATAAATTAGAGTCTCACCTTAATGATTGTTTTGTCCAAAAAATATATTTCATTTTTATCTAATGAAGAAGGAAATTTTTGAAAAAAACGAGTACAAATAAAACAATAAGTGTTTTTTTTTAATAATTTTCTTTTAATTTACTTACTTCATCAGCTTTTATTTCATCATTTGAATGATCAATCTTTATTGAACATTTTCCATTAACAGTTAATTCAACTTTATTACTTTCATCTTGTATAAAATTAACAGTTTCATTCATTTTATCAGATGATTCTTGTAAACTTTGTGAGCTGGTATATTTCGATGGGGATTTCTGAACAGATTCACCTGTGAAATTTGATTTAATTGGGTAAAATTTTTATTTAAAACTAATAAGATGATTATGAGCAAAGATGGACAGTGGCTAGCAGTGGAATCCATGACGTGAGTTTCATCCTATTTCGGACTTGTCAGCTGGATATACCTGCATCTCAGAGTTGATGTCTACTCTAGGACTCGAACCTAGTACCGTTCGCTTCAAGCGCCATTGCATTATCCACTTAGCTACTGAGTCCTGATAACCAACTGCTTGTGCAATGGGGTGAAGTTCAAATTCGCTCAGTATTGTCTGCTTGAATTTTCCCATTGATGATTGAGACTGCAATTAATCAGTCTCTTATTGGCATATGTGCATACTGTGCGTACTGCCTTGATATTGCCTTAACTCACTTAAGCTAGAGAACTATTGGAAACAAGAGGTTGATGCAAATCTGTTTCGTGTTCGTTTTAGCCTCTTTAGTAGTATGTTCCTAAAACCTACCTACTACTTCAAGATTTCATTTGAGGTAGCAACACATTCCTACAATTGAAGAACATATGGAACTCAAAACAATTGTAAACCAATATCAAAGTCAGAATCTTCAACACGAACGTCAAGGCTGTCCTAATGTACGGAGCTGAAACTCGGAGAACCACTACAACTATAATCAAAAAGGTGCAAGTATCTATAAACAGTTATTTACTCAAGATACTCAATTTTCGTTAGTCGAATACCATCAGCAACAGGCTACTGTGACAGAGAACAAACCAACTTCCAGTTGAGGGGGAAATCAGAAAAAGACTTTGGAAGTGGATAGGACATTTTAAGCGGACATGAGACGGATGAATAGCACCTGGAAACAAATGGAAAGGAATACTCAGGACAGATTTGGATAAATAATGTTGGTGGGCGTTCTATGCTCCTCGAAGAGGGGTAACAGGCGTTAGTAAGTATCTATACTAAACGCACATTATTCGACAAGATAAATTGTTTAAAAGTAACCATTTATTGTTGATACTGTTTAAAGCATTCATTTGGACTTTAAAAAGAAACCCCATCACTACGTCGAATTAATTAGTTTAATGTACATACTTCAACTTAATAAACATAATTCAGCTCATCATCTATGTTAAGATAGGACTTTGATTAGTACACATCGACTGCCTAGTGTGATCTGACAAAACACTTTAGCCCCCGTCCACTCGACAAACAAACAGAACCCACATAGATCATTTGTGGTAGAAACTCTCATAACTAATAAATACAATAATAATGTTTGAGAAACTCCGAAACACTCTAAAGTTTAGTCGAGTAAACACTTTTAAAGCTAAACGAACTAAATAAATACAAATCTTTATTGTTAATGGATAGCAAATAAAAAAATCACTAGAAGTAAACATAACTAAGGGGACGTATTTCGTCCTTATTTCTGACTTGTCGATAGGATGTACTGGGACTTTAGTACCGATGTTCGCAATAATGTATGAATACAGTACCAAATGAAATTACTATAGCATTTAATTTTTGTAGTACCTATAACAATGAGTGGGTTAAGAATCGTGTACTAAGTAAATATGGGAAACCGATTGATGAAGTGGTAACTCTTCATCAACTGAGTTGACTGAGACATGTGTTATGTATTCTTAGCCACAGTCTACCTCGACGGCTGATGTTAATAGGTACAGACTATCTAGTTGTCGTTCACATGATTATCATAGCCAATGTTTATAAATTTTGAATAATGTGGCTCAAAATCATTTGTATTGGTACAAATGTATTCATTCTCTGGCTTTCTCCAAACTCTGGGTTAATGAAATTCTCAAATCGTTTTGTGTATCTTTATTTCACTAATTTGTATTTTCTTGAATCGTATCTTCGATGCTTAATCTTTACTATTATTAATGATACTGTTACGAACTCTACTATTCTAAAATTTGGCGTGACAACTTCATCTCTCTGTGCTTATGGGACATAACAATTTGAACTAATGTACACAAGTACAGGTTCTACGTTGTTACTGGCTGACCGACTGAGTACTATCAACAATAATGGAAGTTGTATTAAACTTCAGCAAATCAAGTATACATCAAATTAATTTGTTTTATATTTGTAGAAAAATTAAATGCTGCAAATAACTGTGTTCAACTTTATTGAATTTTGAAAAATTCAAATGACAATCGAATAGTATACTTACTTAATTCTTCAATGGTTGTTGAAGGTACACGTTTAAGCTGAGATTTATTATCTTTTTGTTGTTCGACAAAATATGTAAATAACATATTTAAATCTTCTTCTGTTTGTACACCTAAAACCTACATAGAAAAAAAAACAACAACAATAAACCAACGATTCAAGGTTGTAAGATTTCATGATGTTTTCATGAAACAATCATATCACATTCCCAAAATTATGCTATAAAATAAGTTGAAATCATGAGTCAATTGAAGCTAGACCACCGTGGAAAACTTGGAAGCACTGGACGGCCGTTTCGTCTTAGTATGAGATTCCTCAGCAGTGCGCATAAAGTAAAATTAGCACCGTTGGATGCTGGCTCAGTGGTCTAGCGGTTAAGTGCTAGCGCGCGAAAGCAGTAGGTCCTGGGTTCGAATCCCGCGGGGTGCGGGATCGTGGATGCGCACTGCTGAGAAATCCCGCACTAGGACAAAACGGCTGTCCAGTGTTTCCAGGTTTCACAAGGTGGTTTAGCTTCAATTGACTCATGATTTCAACCTGTGAAATTTCTAAAAATCTCCACAAAACCCTTTCTGATTATAAAATAAGTGTATTTGTCATGATGCAGTTCTTATAGTATATAAGCAGTTATAACTTGAGGCCATAATGTAGGATGACCACCTTAGAGACGTTATTTATCTTCACACACTATTTTTATCCAACAGTTGTAAACGATTTTTTGAAGGTAACTTTTCACTGCCTCAAACTTATCAAAGTTAATTCACTCAACGGATTTTAACTATAAGGATTAAGTTTTTTATTGAGCTTAATAGTATTCAAGATAAAATTTTCATCTGTAAGAAAGGACAATGTTTTGAAAAATATTAACATTCCATATTTATTCTATTTTGAGGGAAATGAAGAAAAGATGATTATCTTGTTAGCTCCATCTGGTGAGAAAAATGGATCAGATTCATTCAGGTAAAATCAATTATTAAACAGAAAGACTAAAATTTCTATATTTTACAAAGTTGTATAAATCATTTCAGTTAGATAAAAGACTAAACTTTGACCGACAATAAAATGAGTAATGTAAAGAACATAGAACGAATAGAACATGACTGGCAGTGAAATCCAGGATGAAAGCAAAAAACTATCGTTTCGTCCTGGTATGGGACTCCTCAGCGGCGCTCACCCACGATTCCCCACGTGGGACTCGAACCCACGACATTTGGTTCTGTGAAGGAACGTTTAACCTCGTGAATTCAACTGTTAAAGTACTACAATATTCACAAATATCCATACTAATAATAATGTGTTCACTAGTGATCAACTTCAAGATGAACTCCCTGGAGTTCTAGTGAGAAATCATGACCAGTGGAGCCCAGTTCGTGTCAAGTATGAGGCAGTTATTTACCTCAGACAATGGATAAAGGGTTCCGCAAGATCATGAATCGGTTGAAGTTAGACATGAACACCGTTGGGTGCCAGTTAACTGGTTGAGAGGTCAGGTGTTCCCTTGAGAGACCAAATGTCCTGAGTTAGAGTCCCTCATGAAGGATCGTGGATGCACACTTCTAAGTAGTCCCATATTAAAACGAGATGGCCGTTCGATGCTTCCTGATTTTCACTTGTTATCTAACATTGATCAATTCATGATCTCCATAAAAACTCATCAATCTCTATAACCCTACACTGTTAATATTTATTCAATTTAATTTTTCTTCAAAAATCTACTTACCGTTAGTATTGTATCTAGACGTAGAAGTAACCCTTCTTCATATCCTAACGGTTCTAACAAACGTTTTATGTTTTCATCAATTAAAAATTCCTACAATTATTGTTATAAAACAAAAAGCATTAGTGTCATTTAACTGAAATGTAAGAGTTCGAATTTCTCTTTGTTTTTTTTACGTATCAATTTCGAATATAATTGTTAAATCTCAACCAGTAGTATGAGGTCAATTATCATTTTGTCAACGTTCAGTAAAAGTGTGATATCTCAAATTTTCTAGAATCATTTTGTTCATATAGTGTGTCAGTGGTATAAGATTATAATTTCCTCAGAAGATTTCAATTTAATCTTCTGTCGTTATCCACAGAACACGTCTGTGTAGCACATTTCAACTTATCGTATGAAAAGAGCAAATAATGATGAAAATTAGAGCCTGAAATGAAATCCATGGTGAAAATTGTGTTCTTATTTTCAGGATTCACTCACTAAATGATAATGCACGTAACAAATTCTCGAATATATATTTCATCCCCAGTTAGTATAAACTGATGGATGGAAGAGATGTACTCATCATACTGGGATTCAAATGTATACCATTCAGAAGCACACAACCAATATACTTATCATTGACTTACTTAGTAAAAAAAAACATTAAAAAATAACAAACATGGTTAGCTGATAGTCAAACTTTGACCAAATGTTCACTTCTTATAGAGTGGACACAGTCAATAGTTCAACAAATATCCTATGATAACATAGGATATGGATTGTACTACACCACGGAAATAACTAAATTTTTTAAGCAGTGTAGATGTATAGTCTGTAACCCAATGGTTGAATATTACCTCACTCTTTACGAACCCTGACAATAGTTAGTTTAATAATGCTTATAGTTATGGAAGTACATTTTTGAAGAGCCTAATTAAAATACCTGTTCAATGGTCTCATTAAATCAAGTTTGCAGCTAGTACTAATCTGAAATCAAAAGTATCTGCAAATTAATTAATCTCCGACTTTTAAATTAGCTGATATGTAATTTTATTTTGAAAGTTTAAAAAAGTATGGAATTTAACAAAGGGATCCCTTTTCAACACATTTACTATTAAGCTATACAGCGACATATATATTACCACTTAGGAAACTCATATATTAGGATTAAACTGGGGTTCGATACTTCCTGATTTTTAATGGTTGTTTATCTAAAATCAGTATGTTACGTAAACTTCATTATGCAACAATCTCCACAAGGGCTATACATTGACAATAATCCATAACGGTTTAATAAACAAACTCAATGCACTTTAAAATATTATGCGTTTTTAAAGTCTAATTAAATTATGAGGAAATAATACGAAAACTTACAGGCTCATAACACAGTAAGTGCAAAAATTCTTTTACAGTTTTTGATGAAACTTCTTTCAATGTTGTAGGTATTTTATTTTCTGAGGTTACATTCTGTGAATCTGGAAAGTTTCTAAAAAATTTAAAGTTAATCGATATTTAGAAAAAATATATATTGGCTTATACGACGCTTAAATAAGTAATCTGAAGAGTGAATCCGAGAAAACCAGACTGATTTTAGACCCAGATTTGGATGTACCGACTAAATATTCGTCTCATATAGGATTATGAAACATTTAATCTTCCATTAAATCATTGGTTTTAAAGTTATCTGATACTTTTCCACTTTGTGAAATCATATTCTCTTTTCATTTTGATTATCCATTTTCAATGCTTCCTATTACCGTAACTATTTGTACTACTCTAGTATTTTAGTGTAATGTGGTGTTGTGACAACATATACCGATGTATAAAATGACACGTTTTATGTTGTGCGTATGACTGACTGACTGATTGGTTGACTACTAAAGTATTGGTGATTATTAGCAAGATGAGCTTTTCAATAGACAATCTATGCATCTATACTTTGTCTGAGTTTAAAACTATCAAATTCCAGTGTATACTAATGTTCTGAAATGATCAAACTGAAGTATTTCAAACACAAAATATCAACTAATCACTGATTCATTATAAAGTTAGACAAAGAAAATCACTATTGGTCTATACTCAATGTTACATAGATTTTATGAATATCAATTATCAATAGTGTTTTATTCTAAGTTGAATACAAGTTCCAATGGGATAGAAGAATAAATTTTCAATTTACTTCTTGTCAGATTGTAAGGCTAATTCCATTGCAATTATAGCTGGAGGTATATTGGTGATCTGTTTCACTGGACCTACATTTTCCATGAATGATCTAGAAAAAAACAACAATGAAATGTACTATATATATATATATATATATATATATATATATATATATATATATATATATATATATATATATATATATATATATATATATATATATATATATATATATATCACTGGAGATCATCAATAGTAGTTACTGATTATGAGCATATTCATTTTCTTAGATATTTTTATTTACAACTATGATATATTCACTTATGGGATTTCCGTAAACAGATACTCGAAAAGGTCTTAAAATGAAGATAATTTTGATTAACATGAAGAATCAATGGAGATTATTCAGTTTGAAGATAGTTTACATCTCGCAGACCTATTGTATAATCACAACTGTTGAAAACAAGAAAGCATTGTATAACTACTTTCGTTGTGGTATATAATTTCTTGGTAGTATTCATTTACGAAACCACTGTTAACCAAATGCAAGATCTTCATACATTGCAGAGATCCTGTTATCATCAGATTTAGTAATGTGTTCTTCGAGCTTAATAGTTAAGCTACAACGTTTCCATTGTGTTACTTCTAAACAACATTATCAACACAAACTAGTCAAGGAGTAGAACGAGAGTTTCATGACCAAACTACTCAACAAGAACACAAAAATATTCTACAATAAATTGTGAATATTCACCATCATATCGAACCGCAAAAGGGACTAAGAATTTCATATTTCTTTAAGAATTCTGATATAATGGCTTCTATGTAAATGATACCGACTTACGTTTTCGTATTGAATATATCATTGGTGAAGCATCTTTGATGTTAAAGTTTAATCAAAACTACGGTTACGATTAAAAAAAATACAACTTAGTAATTAAGTGTACATTCGTGTACTGACTTTGGATCATAATTTACTTTTGATATGTAGAGGTTTTTAGTAATATTACCAGGTCACCCAAACTGCACCAAGTAGATTGTGACTCAAGCCTATTTAAACACCAAAGCCTAGTACATTCAAGTCTCAATGAGAATACGAAATGTTTAGACTACTAAGCCTAAATCAACTTCATCATTTGTTATTATTTTGATCGATCTATGATGTAAAGTGATCCCTATATAATGCCACTATTCAGTCAGTGACCTCATTCTCGACTTGTATGCGCCTCCAATGTTTACGATTTTCCACCTCATAAAATTAATTTTGAAGCTAATTATTAATAGTTATGTAATAAATCAAGTGTCAATCAGTTATTGTCTCTGATACCAGAAGTATATCTTTATAACAATCGTACGAATGATCATGTTTATTTACTTAGTGACCTTAAAAAATAGTACCATTGAATGTAAAAATTAATAATCAATAAAAGCACTGATGAATAGTAGTTTTGGTTCTATCTAAATGCTCTACCAACTGAGCTAGCCGGGCTGCCTCCAAATGCCCTGGTACGGCCGAGAGTGAGGAGAGTCCGCTCTCCTTCTCGAAATGCTCTCACATGGCCATGCGTATTTAGCCTCTGCCAGGGAAGTTCTACTCATTGCGTTCTCGTGGCGAGGGTGTTGTTTACGAAATTGGGAGGACAAAAAGCGAGTGTCCGGTGCTTTAACCGGGTTGGTGGACACCGAGAGTTTACTTAGGGGAGTTGGAAAACTCTAATTCCAAACCACTGGTGCACATGGGCCCTAGTACCCTGAGGGAACAAATGGCATATGAACCAATCGTTGGTCACCAGCTACCATGGGACTACATCTCCTTACGATGCTTCACTGCCTTGTGGATCAGCCCTTCAGGTCGAAGGCTCCAAGTGGTGGCTCCCTAAGTAAACTACCTGCTTCGGCTTGGGCACCCGGGCAGTATCACACCCCTTACACAAATCAAATGAGATTTATGTGATGCATATGTATTTGGTGCCTTCTTATATGTGTTAAAAATAAATAAATAAATCTATTTAAATATCCGGTGAAAATGTCAAATAAAGAAGAAAAAACTTTTATAAACTGCAATTTTGTTTTTAGTAAATAAAATAAAAAGAGAAATATTTACATATCTGGTGGATTCCATGTTAAGCCAAGTTGTTGTTCAGTAATAATTCGATGTGCTTCCAAAAGACGATTACCTAATTGTTTCAAATTCTCTTCATTCATTATCCAAATATCATGAAAATTTCGTTGTACACTTTCTATTAACAATCTTAATCAAGATGGGTTTTTTTTGTGAAATAATAAATAGGAGATTTGAATAATTCATTAGAATTAAGGCTTTCTTAATTATACAAATTGTTATTTATATTTTAATTAATGAAAAAAAAGAATATAAAATGATCATGTAGTTTGACTTTTATTAGAAATCATACTGACGACAGAACTGTTCATCTTCGTAGTTTAAATCTAGAACTAACCTTAGCTAGATCATTATTGAGAACCTGGAAGCACTGGACAAAAGTTTTATCCTAATATGGGACATATCAGCAGTGTGCGTCTATCACATTGGATTTGTAAAGCAATCCAGGACTTTTAATCTCACGTGTCTACATCCATTGTACACCATTGGGTTCCGGCTGAATAGTCTAGAGGTTAAGCGTTAGCGCTTAAGACATGGGTTTAACTTTTTGCGGTGGGATTTCGTGTGCTCACTGTTGAAGAATCACATATTATAACAAAACAACTATTCAATGCTTTCAGGTTTTTCAATGGTGGTCTAACTAAGATCCGTTCGTGACATAAACTACGAAATTTTTACAACCTCCACAAATCCCCTCTATACTAATTAAAATTATATATGATAATGTTTTAAGTATATATATAGTAAGAATGCTGATCGGTTTAACATAAATATACAGTGCGTATCAACAATCTTGTTTGCATTTCTCCAATTCATATCATTTGTTGCGAGACACCCGTCTTTGTATCAAGAAGAGAGATTACTGTTTAAAACTTCGTTTTGTCTTAATTCACGATTTTTGAAAATGAGGGATATATACAGGTAACTAGTATTTGATAGTAGATGTTTTTACAGAATAAGTTAATCATAGTGGAACTACTGAATGACTAGTGCTGAGGTAAGGAGCACATTACTAAGTAGAAATGGTAAACCAGTTAATCATGTTGTGGACCTTTATCCACTGGTGTGCTTAGAATACTGATTACACGTACTCAAAAACTCCTTATCCTAATGTTCAGTATTGACTAGAATAAAACCATATTAAAATGAAGCTAACAACAGACAAACGGAGGCTAATAATAAGTATATTTTCTGTGATATCCCAAAAATATATTTACTGTTAACTTTCTACCCAATGCCCAGTTTATTTGAGATATCAAGTCCAACCTTGGGATTGATACCTACAGACAAACGGAAGGTTCGAATCAAGTCATAAAATAATTAAAGATTCGTCTGAGCTACACCAGTAAATACAAACATCCTAACTTGGATCCCCTCAGTAACTATGATTAATGATTGTACACTTTGAATGATATGCTCTAACTCGTTGGGGATAACAGGTTTCGATAAGATGACGACATGTCTAGTCAATCAACTATGGCGATGTTAAGGGATATTCAGAAATTCAACCAGTGATACAATAGAATGAAGTGAGATATTACTGTATCATAACTAAACATAAATTATGATTAACCGATATACTCCAACCATGAATTTCACATCATGCCATTAGGTTCAACATCCAATCGATAACTTCATGGACTATTATCATGTCTTGATCTCATCGCCACCATCTTTTTTCAAATATACTTCCACACTAGCCTTCAATGTACATCAAGGTAGGTGATAAAGATGAGTGTGTAACACATCTGTCAACAATCTCAGTCGATGAAGCCTAAGGTCCTGATCAGCTTGTTCAATGTCTCTACTTATTACTCTATATTTATCCACTTCAAAGCTTCTATCACACACGGTCAATACTTTGAAAGAATCTATGATGATTGATTGGCAATCTAGTTATATCATTTACATGAACAGGATATGTTTCACAGAAACTACATAGAGTCATAAATGTAATCCTCACTAGATAATTTAAAACCAATAACAAAACAGATTTTACACATTACACCCAATTCTAATTTGTAGTCTTAATATCTTTAATCAGTTTATAATAAACACAATTTGTTTTCTAGTTTTCTAATTTAAAGGTTAAATAAAAATGAGGCAGTTGCACTATACACAGAATCATACTTTGATTTCTTTTGTAAATCACTATAATTTTCCATTCTTCTTTTATAATCTTCAGATAACTGTTCATTTTCTACTCTAAAATAAAACAGGATAATAATGATAATAACAATGGGGAGAATCAGAATTATTTCCCATGTCATAATATTAGCTATTTTGTGTAACAATATAATGAGCTCCATGTTACGTGAAAAAATGCATCCACTCTATAAAGAGTAATATGTTTTTTTGTAGAATGTTTTATTATTTAGACAACGTTATGAGATATTTCATGTATCTTGTCAGTATGATTGGGTTGAAAAATCGATTCATAATGTAATAAGAAGCTTATTTACGTTTGTTACTCCTCTTCGAGGAGCATAAGCCACCAGCATTCTCCATACAACTCTGTCCATTTGCAGTTTGTGCTGATGATGTCGTTCAAAAGAACGATGAAAGCTTCACAACCAAACCAGAGAATAAAACTCCACCAAAATTTCCATATGTTTTCAGATGCTATTCATTCTTCTAATGTCTGTTTCCGATTCTCATCGCAGTGTGTTCTTCGACCTTTCTCTTTAGCGTTTGCCTTCAGGACTTTTATTTGGGGTATGCCTAGTGATAAAGCTTGGTGATTTCTGTAATGTATGTCCTATCGACTTCTATCATCTCTTCCTAATTTTCTACTCAGCTGGAAGCTAGTTTGTCCTCTCCCATAGCAGGCTGTTGCTGATGGTATTCGACTAACGAAAATTGAGTATATTGCGTAGAAAATTGTTTATAAATACTTATGCCATTTTGATGATAGTTGTGGTAGTTCTCTACGTTTCAGCTCTGTTCGTATTGAAGATTCTCACTTTGATACTGGTTGACAGTTGTTTTGATTTCCATATGTCCTTCAATTGTAATAATGCTATCCTTAATTTGCCAACCCTACCCTTTACGTCTAAACAAGATCCTTCTTGTTCATCGATGATGCTTCCCAGGTACGTGAAGGATTCCACCTCTTCCAGAGTTTCTACATCAAGTGTGATTTGACTGGTGTTCTCTGTGTTGCTTTGGGGATCTTTCTTTTTTCTTTGTGTATGTTGAGGCCTATTTATGTAGAAGCTTTTGCTATACTAGTTGTCTTCGTCAGCATTTGTTCGTGTGTGTAAGATAGAATAGCTAGGTTATCTGTGAAGTCCAAACCGTCTAGTTGCGTGTAAGCTGTCTATTGTATTCCATGTCTCCCCCCAAATGTGGAGGTCTTCTTGATCCAGTTAACCACCAGAAGAAGGAGAAAGGATGATAGCAATCAGCCTTATCTGATCCCGGTTCTCACTTGGAATGCGTCTGTCAGCTGTCCTCTCTGCACAACTTTGCACTGTAGTCAGGAAACTGTAGTTACAATAATTGTAGTTATATGTATATACTACGTACATGTAAGTTGTATGCTATTAAAAACTACAAAACATGCTAGCAAAACGATATGAAGCAGATTAAATTTCGTGAAGGAAAATCACTGTACAAGTGAATAGTGATGGTCTAGTAATTAATATTACTCAAGTTTTATTTGAGACAAAAGAGGATAATTTATTTCAAATTAAAAGCAAGTTCGAAGTCTAAAACAGAGATAACGTTAGAGATTGATTGAGTGATATATCGCTATAAATGAGCGACTTTCATATAGTGAGATGAAGCTTTAAATTCAACTTTTATTTGTTTGAATAGACAACCTTTCATCAAACATTATTTTATCACCCATTTACCATTTTAGTGAATGAGAACACATGTGGGGAAAACCAACTGTGTTTTAATAGAAAATTAGAGTTTTTTCATCAAATGTGAAAACTATACATTCAATACTTCATTTGTAAATCCTCCATCGATTGTTTCAAATTTCATCGTTCCTTCATTACCATAACAAATACTCTCTGTTTCCGTTCTCTTCAATTCGATCTTCCCAACCTTCTACTGCCAGCTATTCCATTTCTGAGTGGAGTTGTATACAACTTATGTTTTTCGATATATATAAGTAGCATACACCACACTATTATATATGTAAGTTTTATTGCATGATGTTGAATACTTTAAGATTTGAGTAATAAATCCTTAATAATTCTGTCAATCAGGACAACAATGAAAGTATTTTAATTAAGCCAACAAGCTTGAAGAATTCAACACCATTAGATACACTTTTCTCGTAAAATTTTTATTTATAAGATAGAAAATAAATATGTATGTGTTAGCAGGACATAGATGGGATTAAAGCATGCTCCATGCACGATTGCGTTGGAGCACGCTGATTGGCTAATTCTTATCCAATCAGTGTTAGTCGATACTTGGAGAACACTCTAGAATCTTTTCATATAAAAACTATAAATATACTAACGTTTTCCCTATTGTGCTTCTTACTTCCATCTAATCTTGTTATCTGGAATATGATCTCTTTCCTGTTCAATCGTGTTCTGATTTGGGGACTTGTCGAGTGAATTGATGTCCGAGAATACTAAGCAATAGGAATAGCTAGGTTGTAATAAGAGAGAATTATAACAGTATGACTTAGTCATAAACACAGATATAACTCACAACAGTCTCAATTGAATTAATACTCTCACCAAAGAAATACATACTACTCACTTGTATTGTTGTTCTTGTTTAGTTGATTTTATACGTAAATTATTCAATGTATCTTGTAGACGTGTAATTCTTCTCTTTTGATTTGATTTAAGCACTGTATTCTCTTCATCACGTCGTTTTAAAACTTGATAATTATAATCTAATTTTTCTAAATTCAATTGATATGTAGATTTTAATTTTTGTAAATGACTTTCAAATGTCTAAATTCCACGACAACAACAACAACAAAAAAACAAAGAGTGTATACTAAAGTTGAATAGTATATTGAATGAATTACATAGAGTTCTGTTTATATACAAAACACTTCATCTTCATAAACTAAGTGACTGATTGATTACATTTAAGTAATATAATAATCGAGTTTGTAAATAATTTTCTTCATCTAGGTCGTTTCGTTTTCTATTGTCTCCAATTAGTTTCAGTTTTATCTCAAAATGACTTATCTGGATTGTAAGAACATAATAAAACTAAAAGAATCTGTGTTTGATTAGTAGGGAAGATGATGGAAAGTGATGTGTTTCGTAAACTCTCGGAAAGTTAGTGTTGAATGTTCAAGTATATTGGTTTTATACAGTAATTACTTATCAGACTTACACATATTCGGTAGAGCACAAAGTTCACGATCCCCCCCCCGAAAAAAAACTCTTCAGAGCTTCCATAAAAAAAGAAACATCCAATTTCTTCCCTTCACAGAGAGGTTGATAATGAATAACACCATAAATGTATATATTTTCTCATTCGTGATCCGTAATTCGGTTTTTATTCTTTACTCAGTCATGTCGAAAAAAGAAATAACTTAAGGTAACAGTCATACTTACAAGATAATGGCAGCTTTCATCAATGAACAGTTAAATAAAAATAGGTTGCCAAGTTTAAACTAACTTTACACTTGAGGAGATAAATAAGAACACAGAAATTTTAGAGCCACTTCAATCAATAATGTCAGTATAAAATGTATGTGTAAAGATGTTTTTAGGTGTCTTTCAGAATCAACCAATAAGACTGTGATTTTATGGCTCCAATTGAATTATGTGAAGATGAAAATGCACTGAAAAATCGCATTTCTATTAGTCAACAATACATTATGACATTATACTATGGTAACATGTGCAAAACTATTTTAAATCACCGATCAAAAAGTATATAACAATAATAACAAGTTTGATTATATAATATCTGTAATACTGAACGAAAATTTACAAAAATAAATCAAACAATTGTCATCCTTTAGTTGATGTCACGATTGATGTTAATTAAGCAATCATTGAATTTAGTAATCAGTTGACATTTATCCCGTGCTAATCATGTACGCTCATCAGTGACTGATTTCAACAGGTAACCCCCGAATATATAAACTATTGGATAACAAACTAATAGTATGAAAGTTAAGCGCTGACTGGCAGACGTAAAAGAGCAATCGATGCGTGTTGTTAATAAGTACCGTTTTAAGAATGAAAAGGTGTCCAGTGATTTATAGTTCGCAAAGCTGTTTATCTAAAAGCAATCCGTAACGCAAACGTTGAAACCCTCTATATTACTTGTGCTGTCTACTTAACAGAATCATTGGTTGAATTCAGTTAACGTTCCATTAATTTTCAAGTAGAAAACATTGAAATAACCTTTCTAGATTATCATTTACGCTAATAACATAATCTTTGTGAATGCTGATTACTTTTCTCACCTACTAATCCCTCTTCCCATAATATATATCACAGAAGTATATAAATCTAGTCTAATATATCTGCGAGATGTAAAAGATCATAATTTTCTCATTATCATGATTAATTTACTGACTTACCTCGACTTCAGCGCCCAATGATATTTTCAGTGCATTGTACTCTTCTGAATATTTAGTGCGTAGATCATAAAGTTCTTTCTCATATTCAATAGCCTGATCTTCACGTTGTTTTAAATAATTAGTCTATGAGAGTCATACAAAAAAGGAAATTAATCAATGGGAATAGAACAAATACACCAGTCTAATAGACACTATAAATTGAAACAAACTGATTACCTCGATACGCGATGTTGTATGGTGTAGGAGTAGACTGTAAGAAAGCTAATGAGTTACTAAATGGAGATGGCGCATCAGTCCATGAAGTCATTAAGCATTGAATTGAGACATGCTGGTAGGTGCAGACTACCTGGTTGGGATCCATGTGATTAACATAACCAGTGGTTGGATGTGTTCAATGATATGGGTCAAACTAGGTTTGAATGACGTAGGTGTATTTACTCTGCCCTAAAACATCCATGCATTCCATTTTGCAAACTTCTTTTTAAGTCATATCATATAACCATAATCTTTTCTATAACTGGTACTTCAATTACTTGTACTACTCTGTGACTTATCTTGATATTCTCATTTTTCTGTGTTGATATGGTGTGTGAGTTTGAAGCGACACATACTTGCAGCAGATTCTACATCGCTTATGATCGCTTATGTCTTGTACTAAATACTTAATACGAAGATTGTCATAGGACTAATCTTAGTAAAAATAACCATTTTGAAATGTTGCATCAAATTGGTCTACGGTGAAATCATCTCTAGATCTGTTAAATTCTTAGCTTTCTTTTATGTATATTAAGAAAGACTGTTGGTACCTACATTAAACCAAGGTAAAATTGGTTCCAATTTTATTGATATAAAGATTGGTGTACAGATAATATTATTCGTTTCTGATGATTTCTTTACTGTATTTATGCTTTCATTTGTTAAATTTAAATCCTACAAAACCCATGTTAATATTGTTGTCTAGAAGGACAGTGAAAACTTTACAAGTAAATTAACTTTTGTAACGTACGGTGTCCGATTTCAATATTGATACACGATCTTTACAAACGTGAACCCAATCGGCTACTTGGGTAATAAGGAAGTTTACTGACTAAATTCAGTTGGCATTTATATATATGGTGTATGTCTCGTTTCTTAGAGATGTGAGCCATTTCTTGGCCACTCATGACCACTTATTACCAGGCCGGTTTTTATTGGCCTTACGTATACTATGCAGCTCAAAGATCTCAACCTTATTGTAATCTTTCAGATCGTTTTTATATGGAGCATAAAATATTTGATTTATTAAACTGTATGTTCAAATCCCTCCATTTTTAATAATAACGTTATGCAATAATCTTTAATATTGTGTTTAATGATAAGTGTGCTACCATGAGCTTGATAAATTACGTTCGATCATCTATTTTCTCTATGTATCAGCTATGTGAAATCGCGCTTAAGGAGTGACAAACAGTTTATAAGTAATAATAACAACATATATTAGTACATGCCAAGACTTACTGCATTTTATAAAAGTTATATCATGATTAAAAATAGCTGACATGTTTCACACTGAGGGGAGGTGTAGGAGAATCAGAATTATAAATGCCTACTGCTTTTCCTTTATAGAAAAAGTATCATGATCGGTTCATTAAATCAATTAAAACTCAACAATCGCCACAACCCTATACTGATAATTGTCATGTGCTTACTAGTGACTAGCCTCGAAACGTAATTCTCAGAGTTTTAGTGAGAGGTAGTCACCAGTGGAGTTCAACCGTGTCAGGTGTGAGGCAATTGCCTACCAAAGACAATGGAGGATGGTAGCACAATAGTGTGGATTGTTTAAAGTTGGACACTAACCCGTCGGATGCCAGTTCAATGGTCTAAAGGTCAAGAGCTCGTACACGAGACTGAAAGTCCTGGGTTCAAGTCCGTTTGAGAAGAGATTGTAGATGCACACTACCGAGGAACCCCTTACTAGAACGAAATGGCCGTATAGTGCTTCCGGGTTTTCGATGGTAGTCTAACACTGATCGGTCCATGAACTCAATAAAAAGTATCATGTAATGGATTCGTTCTCACTCTTTAAGTATGTCTGATAATAAGTATTTCATTAGCCGAGCCGGTTAAAGTGATGCTTTTGAATTGGTGAGAGAAAGGTACAGGTCAATGGTGAAGGAAACAAAAGTTTTGAAATTTAATTTCCTTTCCTTTAAAAAAAATTATTCCCATTTAAAACATCTTACTAAAAATGGTCTCTTTTATATTAAACATTAATATGTTTTATAAAAACAGTATCCATCAACGATTTTTCTTCATACACACACATACACACGCACAAAATATTCTCATATATAGTAGTTTACTTGTTTCTGTTTGATTTCATTCATCAATATTCCCCATTCAGCATTTTGTTCACTAGTTAATTTTTCTCTTTGATCTACAAATGCATTCTATTAGGTTGAAAATATTAAAAAAAATTAATTAGACAGGGGGGGGGTTGTTACCTTCAGGTAAATAGATATTGATTAATGATTGAGATTATTTGTATATATATATTGATTAACTATATCATAACCCACACTTTTGATATTTTTCATTGTTTATTGAATAGGTGACAACTGTATAATAAAGTGTAATTATCCGGAAATGTCTATTATAAACATGTCCAGTGTAACCTATTTCGTAGACATATCGAATGAAAAGCATATAAATATGCAGTAAAATTTGTACTTAAATTGAAAATATAAAGAATATTACATAATAGATGAACAAGAAAAAAATTATCAAAAGCTTTGGGTACGGTTCAATTAGTGAATATTCAAAACACTGCAGTTAACATCGAACGGATAAATCGCTCTATAAAATTAAAATGCTAATCGAAATAAATTATATAAGATAATAGAAGTGATTTACAGTAGATAGAAATATCGTTTTACCAACCTAATGGTCTAACACTACAGTACTTGATTCATAAAATTCGATTATTTCAAAGAACCAACAAATTAATTTGTAACTCACAATGCTAATATGAAATGTTTACAACTTGTACCGTTACAAATTTGTGTCCAATTTTGTATTGTCCATGGCTAATTACTATGCTAATTTTCATCAATTTTCGTCTATAACCTAATCTTCCAAACCATCAGTTATGGTTTAAATAGGTCAGTGAAATTGTTTGCATTTATGAAGTAGAATATTACAATAATCTCAGTCCTTTCTGAACAAACGTTTTTTTCTCTTAAAGTTGATAACAAACATGAAATTTAAACGTTAGGGTATCTTAATTGTTTCATTTCAAACATCTAAACTACAATGGATGCTTTCTTAACGAAATAGAAACAGAAAAAATAAAGTCCCTTGTTATTGAGTTGAACTAAATTCAACAATAAGCAGTAAGATCTCAGACAGTGAAACTGATTGACAATAGCTTGGAATATCAATTCTCCCAAGACTGAACGTGTACCTTGCTGATGAACTCCAACAAGTACAAAGCCTAAGTAAAACAGTATTTCCTATCAATCACCTTCTAGCATTTTACATCTCAACGTTCAAAAAACAAGTTGAGAATAAAAACACTTATGTACGTTAATTAAAAGTAATAACTATCTCTGATTTGAAACTACACCAGACTAACTGAAGGACTTATCTTTTGGAAAAAAGTGTAATCTTGTATTGGTTAATGAATATCTTATCTATATCTTGTTCTAGATAGTTTACATTAAAAATTGTTAATGAGTATGTTGAGCGAATTCTATATTGTATCACAATATAATATTGAATAAAGCCATTAGTATTATATAAATCAAACGCGTAATAATAAACAGATATATAATATATAAATATTAAAAACATCAATTTCAGTGAAGGAATCTCTTTTCGACGAATTTATTGTAAGTACTAATTCAGTGAGGACATAAACAATGAATAAACAAGAACTTCTGTTTTTATCTATCGATTCACCTGGCCAGGTGAATTAGCTTTCAACTTGGGTATGAGAACATATTACTGTGTGGATCTAGAAAGGGGAAAGGAAAACCGTTAAGAGTTCTATACTTGAATATTAAATCGTTTCTAATCACTCCATTGTTCGAAATGTTGGTATTAAGGTTGTTTATAGAAAACTTCTTTGTATTCAACTCATTAAAACATCACATGCTTTTGATATTGAAAAAATGAAGTGTGAATTGTGTGTAAAAATGAAGTACGTCTTATTACTGCCAAATTATGGTGTTAAACTATTATTGTTATTATTATGCCAAAAGGGACCGATCAATTGCAGTTTGAAACATTAATGAGAAGATTCAGAGCATCAATAGAAACGAATTAAACTTCACACAATTGCACAAGCCAGTGACTATATGAACTGTGAGGTTAATTGAATAATGCGATGGTGTTTAAAGCAAATGGTTCTGAGTTCGTATTGTGGAGTGAACGTTAATTATGGGATGCAGGTATATTCAGATGAACACTCTTATACAAAACAAACGTTTGCCCTAGATTCTGTTGCTAGTCACCATCCAACTCTTTTTTTTTTCTTTTCATTTCACCGATTTTATTACAGAAAATATCCCTCTTTCATGGATTTATTCATAATTGTTTCTGATATCACTTCACTTCACTTAACCCTTATTATACATTTTAATTAACTTACTCTATTCACATTATAATCCATTGTTAACTTAATCATTTTACAGGATTTTTCTATTTACATACACATAAACTTGTATTGTTATAAATTACACTATGAAATGATTCTGTTATGTCATCATGTTCATTCATTGTTCATACGTCCTCAAAAAACTAATTCCTACAATCTATATATAATGCACAATTATATAACTTCATAATAAACTCATTAAAAGAAATGAGACCCCTTAACTGAACTTTGCATAATAATACTGATGAAAATAATAAGCATAATAATTGTTATTATTACAATGCTACATACTTCAATGGCAATTAGTTCTTCTCGATAGGTTCTTTGAATAGCTTTAATTTGTGATTCCATTCGTTCGGCTAATAAATCAATATCATCTGTGCGTTTCTTTAATTCTCTTACATAATGATCATCTTTAGCTTTAATTTCCTGTATTGTTTTTATTTTCATTGAAGTCAAACATAAAAAAAACAATGTTTTTAATTTGATGATAGTAAACATATGATGGATGTTTTAATAGTTGAATTCATGAATCGATCTAAGATAAACCACTACTGAAAACCAAGAAGCTCTGGAAGGCCGTTTCGTTTTAGCACGGAACTCCTTAGTAGGGTTTATTCACGATCCTTCATGCGGGACTCGACTCATGACTTTCAGTCTCGCCCTCGAACACTTAACCTCTAGACCATTGAGACAGCATCTAACGGCGTTAATGTCCAGGTTTTCAATAGTAGTCTAGCTTAGATCGTAGCATGAATTGAACTATAAAAGTAACTACAATCTCCACAAACCTCCCGCTCTGATATGATAGATTCATTTGAAAAAGAAAAGATTTAAGAAGTGAAAAAGTTAAGATTCCAGAAAATTCGAAATTTATTTCTTATGGTATTAGAGTTTCTTTCATCTATTAAACAATTTGATTGGGAAAACCAACAACTTTGTCCACGAAACATGTATTATAGTGTTTGAAGATAGAAACTTCAAAAATAGACTTTAGATTGCATTATAATCCATAGTCGATGACTTTAAATAACACTATTTGAAATAAATATTGCATTTGTACTCATTCCTTTTTTACCCTCTAAGTTTTATTTGATTACTTAATTACGCCTGTTACTCCTCATCGAGGAGCATATGCCACCCAACAGCATTATTCATCTAACATTGTCCTGAGTAATCCTTTCCATTTGTTTCCAGGTGCTAATCATCCTTTTCATGTCTGCTTCTAATTCCCATCTCAGTGTGTTCGTCGAACTTCTTCTTTGGAATTTTCCTTCAGGATTCCACTTAGGATGTGCCTAGTGATGCAGTTTGATGATTTCCGTAATGTCTACCCTATCCACTCCCATCATCTCTTCTTAATTTCCTTTTCAGCTGGAAGATGGTTTGCTCTCTGTTACAGTAGGCTGTTGCTGATGGTATCCGACCAAGTGATATTGGATATCTTGTATAGGCCTTATTTGTATTTAGTTTAGTATTATTCCACGTTTTTGTTACGTTTTTAAACCTCATTTTAACTCCATGCTCTTCAACTAATGATTAAATTGCAATATCGAATAAATTCGTTTAAAACCTACACATACCTATGGAAACTGACCGATTGTAGCCTTTAATACCAATAATAAGAAAATATAAACGCTTATAAATATATTCTGTATATGTTTAGTTTTCAATACCATAGGCATTCCTTTATAGAATATACGAATCCCGGGGTGCGTGTTTTATTCGATATCAGACTTATGCAAGAATCCTAGTGTTAATTTCCGCGCTGGGGCTTGAAACTATTAACTTTATCTTCAAAGGCCGATACACTCTTCACTAAGTTACTAGATCCACACACGATATTTATATAATTATTAATGAGGACCTGAATTATAAATTTGTTGATCATCTTGACTGAATTGTGATCAATCTTTGCTGACTACAAATCCATCTGTTCGATAAAAAGGTGTGAAAAATAGCCACATAGGGGTAATATGTACACTACAAACATATGCCGACAAAGACTAATCACAATTCAGTCAAGATGCCCAACAAATGAGTAATTGAAATCATCTATAACAATATAGGTTTTAATATCTTAACTCATTCGGTTTTCATCTTGGCGATGTTTTCATATTGCATAAATGCGAAATACTGCGGGCATAATTGGTTTATTGGCCCCGTACGCGATTTCCTACTAATTTTTAAAACAAATTTACGACTTACTAAATTCAGTTCATTAATCAGCTTATTTTTCTCAGCTATAAGGTCTTTGCACAACGTGTTTTGTTTGTCTAACATCTAAAATATTTAGAAAAAGTATAGAAGTTATACAATAAGTTAAAGCCTGGTGTAACATTCCCAAACTAGTTATTGCAATCTGTTTAAGGTAAAATTATTTATCTTACCTCTTTTGTTTCATCTAATAATTCACTTTCCTGCGCCTTTTCCCATTGTTCTGTTATCTACACAAATAAAATGAAAGAAATCCAAAACCTATTTGGTATATGGTGAGAATAAGTGGACTGATACAAGTACCGTGCGAAAAGTCTTAGCAATCTAGTGATCTATGAAGAAATACTCAAGCCGTTTATAAGTTACTTACTTACGAATGTTACTCCTTGTGGAGCAAAAGCAGTCAACCAGGATTTTTAAACTTACGCAGTCTTGGGTTGTCTTTTCAAATTATTGGCAAGTGCTACCCATTCTTTCGATGTTTGCCTCCAACTCTAGGCCCCATGTATTCTTTGATCTGCCCTTTTTACTTACTTGGGATGCGCCTGTAAACCGCTCTACATGTACGACGTTGCAGTGTAGTCTATCCTAAGCATTCTGTATGATGGTGATGATGATCTCAGTTACACCACGTTGTCAAAGAAGGTTCGATAAGGTTCTACTATCTACGCTGTGAAATGTTTTCTCATAATCAAGGAACTTGATATACAGCTATGACTTCTACTCAACTGTTTGCTCAACAATGTTCCGTAATGTCATCTATGATCGGCACACGATCAGTCGTTACCAAGCCCAACGTGTATGCTGAGTCTTTCATCAGATTCAGCAGTACAAGTGAATAAACTTGAACAATGACGAAATAAATTTTTTGTGATATTTTAGTCTCACATAAATCGTTTAACTAGTATTTCGTGAAAAAGTGGCTCCCTCTAGTACATTTCACTTATTTAGTGAATAATTATGAGAAGTTTTGAGAGTACTTGTGAAGATAAATAAATCCTCGAAATAAATAGTTCTATAAGTCTCCGACATTTGATGCTGACCGCATCAGTTTTACTAGGCACATCTAGCTGATGGCGCTCGGTCACGAAACTGCACCAGATCACGAGTAAGTATGCCGTGCTACGCACCCCTTGCAACTACTAGCCAGATTAGATTAAACTCTTCTTAAAATGTCAACAACCTATTACTGAACACATTTATTCATGGCTTTTGATCTAACTGGGTTGGAGTCCTTTGACTGTATAGATGTTACAGACGAAAGTGTTGTCAAATTCTCAATATCTGTAGCATCTTTAGCGGTGAGCCATACGTGGTCTGATGCACCGAACGGTAAACTGTGGGTCTGTTCCCTGTTTTAATATGGTATGTTACATTTTACGTATGGTGGTATTTTTGTATTCTCCACTTTCTTTTGCCCATTTATATATTTCATCCTCATAATGAGAAAATGGCCACTCAAACTTCTGTAGATTAAGACTCTTACTCCTGTAGCTTTTTGACTCAAGCCATTATGATCTTATAATATCAAAGCCCAATTCTGCTGCGCAGAAATTGACTTTCACAGACATGGTGTGATAGACCAACGTGCACGACTCCTCGTAGTAGTAGTAGTAGTAGTAGCAGTAGTAGTAGTGATAGTAGTAGTAGTAGTAGTAAAGCACTGCCGCTATACTTTGATGGATATGTTACACTTAATATGTTTACTAGCGATGTTTCCAAACCTTACGTCATCCTAAAAAAAGTTATAATTAAACAGGAAGACCTAAGAAGTTGACAACGGTATGACCAGCTCTTCCACAAGACCGAATTTCCATACGGCTCAGCAACAGAAATTTTGGTGCGTGTATGGGAATCATTGATCAATGGGCTCTCAACGAAGGTCTCTTTGGACAACTCTGCTTCACCAACAGGTGAGAGCGGTGGTTGTCTAGTTTCGAAATAATGCCGTGGATGAACCGGCTGCATCTGCCTATAGAACTCTGAAGATCACCAGAACCCTCAGTACTGAGCTTTTTATGTCAAAGAAAGACCTCAAACTACATAAAACGACATTTAAGACCTACCAAGGTAATGTCATTCGTTTTCTTACTATTCATCATAATCTCGGACGTTCCAAAACCCCATTAACAAGCCTGTTGCGTAAAAGATATGTCTGTGAACCACAAGAAACAGATAAACCCGATCGGTGTCGGTACCATAACAAGTATGATGATTCTTCCGAAAATTGCAGAAAACCCTGCTGTTTCCTCCACCCTGAACCTTCTATCACGACAAGCCTTCCTGAAAAATTCCTCGCCGGTATGAGTTAAGGATAGACGTAGCCGGTGAAAATATCCGCCTGCCACACATTACTGATTTGATGACGGAATTTCATAATTTCTTAGACACTGGCGCGGAAGTATGCATTCTTCCCACGGGTACTAATGACCGTCTACAAGATCTGGTCTCCAACTTACAGATGACGCGAGACTAATAGGTCCTGGGTTTGCATCTTACGGGGTGGGGTTATGGATGCGCACCGTTGAGGAGTCTCGTACTAGAACAAAACGGCCTTCTATTGCTTCTAGGTCTTCCATGGTGGTCTAGCTTCAAATGAATCATGAATTTAACTACTAAATTACCATAATACCCACAAAACCCATTTTTGATAATAAAAGTGGTTTGCCACATACGTCAAAATATATGTCTATCATAACGTGGGTTTACGAAAAACTCATTCACTGGATTTTCTTTATGGCAGATGTTCCTGTTATAACACTGTAATCTACTCATCGACCCAAGCAAACGGAGGTTGGTGGATGGAAATACTAAATTATCTATTTGTGGAACTTCATTTTCTGGTTGCAGATTATTCCCGGTCACAGTTTAACATTAGATCTACACTTCCATCAGACACTCGATGAGTACCTTTAACTATCGTGTGTAATCAGAATGTTACTCACTATATTACGACTACAAAACCGCCTGTATTTTCGAAAGGGCGCTGAATAGCTCCTGAAAAGTTAAGATTGGTTAAAAACGAATTCTAGCATATGATAGACATGTGAATTATCCGACCATCAAACCGCTCATGGCCATCTCCTTTGAACATAGCCCCTAGAAAACAAAGCAGATATAAATAGCTTTGGATTGATAATTATCGGTGATTGAATACGAAAACTACTCATGATTTTCACCCCTGGCCACACGTCCACGACTTGACAGCTACTTTGGGCGGTACAGCTGTTTTCTCAGGAATCGATCTGGTCAAAACTCATAACTGGCCGCAGGTGATATTCCTACAACGTATATTATCACTTCCTTAGGACTCTATGAATGTTTGCACATACTTTTCAGTTTAAGAAGTGCCGCAGAAACTCTTCAGAGAGTCATCGATGACATATTCAGGGGTTTTAAATTCATGCACGCGTAGACAATTCTAAACATAAAGCCAGTTGGATAAAAGTACTCATGTTAAAATATTCAAATAGTCCGGAGCGATTCCGGTGGGCTAAAAATTTAGGCATTTTCCAGTAAAGTTACCAAGCTGCACCTTAGGTGTAGACCGTTTAACGGCAGAGATCAAGATCTACCAAGTTACTAAACCAACAATAATGATATATGCAACCAACTAGTTATAGTTCATCTGAGGCAACAAATAACCTGGAATTTAGAGTACTGTACGTTTATCCAGTTTATACTACTACGGGACCGAAAAAAACACATAGAAAGGCTCGCAAAACATTGTCTCATTTAAAACATGATCTGTTAGTGTTCGCAACTAACTACTTTCCATTTCAAAATTTATCCGAATCTTTATTCCTAAATCCATGGTGCCCGTTTTTCCCGTTAAAGTATGAGTTTCTCCACTTCTAGTGACCAAGGAAAATCTGAATCTCAAGAGATCATTATGATACATTACTAATGGAAAACAAAAGTTGTGCTATACGGGATTTTTTATTTCATGTGGTTAGAAGTTAAGTTATACTTTTTCATAACTAGCGTTTTGCTGTATTTACACAAACTATTGTTTCCAGACAAAGTAATGAGACTTAAAATACATCAACCCACTAAAAACACCTGTTATCTGTTAAGATTGTCATGAGCGTATTCAGATGGCTAAAACGCATAATAGGCATTGTTTCACATCCTACCCCCAAAAGTCTATTTTAAAAGCTACCAATAGCTGTACCCATTCATATTACCTTAGGGTTCATACAACTAACACGGAAAAATAAGTTGATTTTGTCCCTAAATGCACATATTCAAACATATCAAGCTACTTTTACTGAAGAGAACTGTCATACTTTATTGAATACTTCTAGGCTTCTCGTTGCTTCGTCTTCTAAAACGCGAATTCTGTTATGATTAAGTTCATGGTCTTCAGTTCTTTTGAAGTATTCACGTGCATCACATGCAACCCGAATGTTAGTTATAAAAGCGTCTCCATCACTAATAAGTTTGGATATCCTTTTACTACTCAGATCGATCTGAGATCTCCCCAACCCAATCTCCTTTTTGCTTGACTTATTTTCATTCGAGTGAACGTCGCCTCTATTTTCATCGTAAAAGAATTATTATATATGATGAACTTGCCTTAAGCGCTCCAACCTGTTTTGTATTCTTAGGCGTCGAGCGGCAATCCTTTGTTCGATATCGTCTGAATCTACTGAGGGTCCAACATCTTTTATTTCTTTCTCTTTGAAGTAAAATTTTTTATTTTGGTCATTCAAGGCCATCGTTTTGAAATAGCTCGGAAACAGTTTCTATGATTACAGCGGACGTCCAATGTTCAAATGGTTCAGATGGTCGTGGACGGAATAGAAGAAGCTTTCGCTTAACAAGCTTCCTTGTCTAGTAGCAGGGGATCACCAAATCCTCCAGGCAGGAACCTAGGTATGTTAACAATAAAAGAGGGAAAGAAATTGGTAAATCATAGTGTGATACTGTCCTTGGTCCTTAAGAATAGGTCAAGTTCCCTCTTGAAGGACTCCTGAGAAGTCGCTTGGACTAGCTCGGCCGGCAGCGAATTCCAGCTTTTGACAACTATTAAGGAGTAGAAGTTGTGTCTACATCCCGTCTTGCTATGTTGAGTTTCCAGTTTCTGGGTGTTACCCTTAGGTTATTATTTGAACTAAGCTTAAGTAGGTCTTTAAGATGATGTCCAGAAGTGTTAAAAATACTATAAGCCATTAATAAATCACCTCTAAGACGCCTATACTCTACTGGGTAAAGGTCTAGTGAATGGAGGCGTTCTTCGTGAGGCTTAGATTTGAGTCCGCGAACTGATTTCGTGGCTCGCCGTTGAATACGCTCTAAAGTGACCTTGTCCTTTTGGAGTGAGGGGGGAGTACTATATTTCCGTACTCTAAATGGGGATGGATAAAACTATTGAAGATTGTATGGAAAGTTCTTCCGTCAAACTGACCAAAAATGCGCTTCAATGTCACCAGTGCAAGGTTTGCTCGGAAGGCATTTTTGTCACAATTAGCGTAAGACTTTAAATCGTAGGGCACCAGGACTCCTAAATCTTTTTCGACTTGGGATACTACTAGAGAGGAAGTTCTTAAGTTGTAACTGTAGTTTGTCGCAGATGAATTACTTTACACTTTGAAGTGTTAAAGGTAAGTCCGTTATCATCTGCCTAACTTTGAAGTCGAGTCAGATCCTCCTGAAGTGCCTGTGTATCGTCTTGGTTGCGTATCTCTCTCCAAAGTTTCGCGTCGTCGGCAAAAAGTAATAAATCTGACGTTACCTGTTGAGGAAGATCGTTTATGTAGATCAAGAAGAGAAGAGGCCCTAATACTGAACCCTGGGGGACCCCACTAGGACATTCCATAGCCTGAGATAAGGTGAAATTAACCCTAACCTTAAAGTGTCGATTTTCTAGGTATGAAGTAAGCCAATCGATTAGAGGTGGTTTGATACCTAGTCGTTTGAGCTTATTGATAAGACACAAGTGGTTAACTTTATCAAAAGCTTTTGAGAAATCAAGGTAAATGATATCAACCTTTCCCTTGCGATCGAGGATGCTTGTCCATCTGTCCACCGCAGTCAGCAGGTTGGTTATACAAGAGTAACCCTTCCTGAAACCATGCTGTTGGGGTGAGAAGAAATTTAAAGACAGTAGATAGTCGCATATCAGGGACTCCATGAGTTTTGAAGGTAATGACAGAAGAGCCACCGGTCGATAACTTGAAGGTTCATTGCGTCGACCCCCTTTGAAAATTGGTGTGATGTGAGCCAACTTCCAAGTTTCCGGTAGTTTGCCTTGGCTTAGCGAGTGTGAAAACATCACGCTAAGCGGCGTTGCCAGGATTGAGGCTAGAAAATATGCTTGCGATGAGTTTGTATCAACCACTTGATATTTTACACCGACTTCCTGATTTGTTTGCTAATGTGCAATGAACAGTAATCTGATCGCTCAACTGCTCTACTTTCAATTATTTAGTGAGATATTTTTGGATTTGCGCATTCAGCAGTATGAATGAGCGTATCTAAACGTACATTGTAGGGTGTAAAACTGAGTGATGTGCAATTACTACAACAACAAAGAGCATAAGCTGTGTTACTATGTCTTTTCACACTTGTGGTGAGCTTCAGGTTGAGATTATCGTTGAAAAATCAAGAACGTCAGTGGTTGTGTATGGATATGAGGAATGAACAGTGAGTGAGTTTTGGGAATAAAACTACTACTGTCGAACATAATACTCCAAACTCAAGTCATTGACACAGTTGCTAATGTTTGGAGACATGGGTAGTTGCAACGTGCTAATACCATCTTGCTAAAAAATCTCTGGAAGGTGCATGGCAAGAATGATATGTTACTGTGACTAAGTTCTGTTTCCTTGTAACCAGTTGGCCAGCCCATAGGAATTGGGCGTTTGTTAGTTCTTCCGAGCAAATTCGAGCTGAAGGTTCTGCGTAATTTCTACCACTTACGATCTCGTAGAGTGATCCGCTCCCATGGTAAATTCAGTAGTGCTAACTGGCATTAAAACTACAACGGAGAACTGGGTTTTGTGAACCAGTTCAGAAAATGTGAAGCTTGGGATGAACAGCTGTAATGCATGGTTTAGGGTTCAAGATTGTGGGGCTTCTCACGGACAGTAGTTCACAAAATCAAGGTTGCGTGTGCAACAAAACGTTGATATTAATAAGTACATGCTGGTTCGGGTCAATTGTAATGTCAGTACAAGTAAACTTTATCGGGATGTCAATTAAGAAGCACTATCTTTTTGTACATTCATAAAACGAGGAGGAAACCTTTTTAGTGGCAAAGTATTTGTCTGTTCGATAGTTTTGGAACACGGGACAAATATCAATAATACGATCATTCAAAATGTATGTGTGTTAACTGATGACCATTAGTAATCCCTGACAGAATTTTGCAAATATATGCACAGCGTTTTTTTAAATCTGTGTTGATGTTGGGTAAAAATACCAGACTTCAATGAATTTTGGAAAAGATATAGACCTAGGTAAATTTTGGGTTTTTTATTGTATATTCCTTAATTTCACCTAAATCTTACGATGAAACTGGCCCGAAGTCTGCCCAAAATTGACCCCTTGTGTCCCGAAGTTGGGACGCCAGCTTCTTTTACAACTTCTTAAAACTATAATTTAACAATGGTCTCATGTATTTCTAATTTATTGTGGTTTATCTTTTCTAGCATTTGGTCTATCTTTTGAAGTATAAAGCCAGCCTCACATAAGTAACATCAATATCTGACCTCCGCTGTAGGTGTAAGATAGACTGATATCACAGGACGAAGGGTGGCACCACTGGCTAGAAAATGTGAGGGTTGGAAGATAATTTCAATTTAAGCAAGTTTGTGGAGTAAGACATTTCGTCAAATTACGGCCTATTATGGTCTGACGGGATGTAACAATAGTACTGACGCTAATTTATTGTGCCCAAAACCTCTTTGACTCATACTTGTTGCCCTGAGTGGGTTTGACTTCATGCTGATAAATCTTAATAAAACCGAAACTGGTTAATTACGCTAAAATGAAGTCTATTCATGACCCTGCAAAATCCATAATATTAAAAAGAAGCTTTGACGATAACAGGAGAGAAAGCCATTTGTGTATCCGAATATTGTGTTTTCAATATCATATTATATTACAAAACTACATACAATCCTCAACTCTCAACTTCTTTTCTCGTCACCATCATTAATGTAAGACCCATTTTGAATGTCTTGTGTGTTTGTGAAAATCCCTCCATGTATATACTTGAACTTTGTTCCTATTGATCCCCTAAGTTGTACATTGTTGTCCTTTAAGTACATTTGAATTGTTAATACTTGTATTTTTTTTATCATAGTTTTTGTTTTTCTTACGCATTCACTAAGTTTGGGTTTCTTCCCGAACTGCATCTGTGTTGTTTTACTTGACACTTGTTCTTGGCGTAGCCATATTGAACCGGTTCAGAAAATGTGAAGCTTGGGATGAACAGCTGTAATGCATGGTTTAGGGTTCAAGATTGTGGGGCTTCTCACGGACAGTAGTTCACAAAATCAAGGTTGCGTGTGCAACAAAACGTTGATATTAATAAGTACATGCTGGTTCGGGTCAATTGTAATGTCAGTACAAGTAAACTTTATCGGGATGTCAATTAAGAAGCACTATCTTTTTGTACATTCATAAAACGAGGAGGAAACCTTTTTAGTGGCAAAGTATTTGTCTGTTCGATAGTTTTGGAACACGGGACAAATATCAATAATACGATCATTCAAAATGTATGTGTGTTAACTGATGACCATTAGTAATCCCTGACAGAATTTTGCAAATATATGCACAGCGTTTTTTTAAATCTGTGTTGATGTTGGGTAAAAATACCAGACTTCAATGAATTTTGGAAAAGATATAGACCTAGGTAAATTTTGGGTTTTTTATTGTATATTCCTTAATTTCACCTAAATCTTACGATGAAACTGGCCCGAAGTCTGCCCAAAATTGACCCCTTGTGTCCCGAAGTTGGGACGCCAGCTTCTTTTACAACTTCTTAAAACTATAATTTAACAATGGTCTCATGTATTTCTAATTTATTGTGGTTTATCTTTTCTAGCATTTGGTCTATCTTTTGAAGTATAAAGCCAGCCTCACATAAGTAACATCAATATCTGACCTCCGCTGTAGGTGTAAGATAGACTGATATCACAGGACGAAGGGTGGCACCACTGGCTAGAAAATGTGAGGGTTGGAAGATAATTTCAATTTAAGCAAGTTTGTGGAGTAAGACATTTCGTCAAATTACGGCCTATTATGGTCTGACGGGATGTAACAATAGTACTGACGCTAATTTATTGTGCCCAAAACCTCTTTGACTCATACTTGTTGCCCTGAGTGGGTTTGACTTCATGCTGATAAATCTTAATAAAACCGAAACTGGTTAATTACGCTAAAATGAAGTCTATTCATGACCCTGCAAAATCCATAATATTAAAAAGAAGCTTTGACGATAACAGGAGAGAAAGCCATTTGTGTATCCGAATATTGTGTTTTCAATATCATATTATATTACAAAACTACATACAATCCTCAACTCTCAACTTCTTTTCTCGTCACCATCATTAATGTAAGACCCATTTTGAATGTCTTGTGTGTTTGTGAAAATCCCTCCATGTATATACTTGAACTTTGTTCCTATTGATCCCCTAAGTTGTACATTGTTGTCCTTTAAGTACATTTGAATTGTTAATACTTGTATTTTTTTATCATAGTTTTTGTTTTTCTTACGCATTCACTAAGTTTGGGTTTCTTCCCGAACTGCAT